TTTTAGTTTTTAAAATAATATTAAAAAATATTTCCACACTTCAATTGGGATATCATCAGGTCCTACAAACTTTCCACCCTTGGTTTTCTTTAAAGCCCCCTTAACTTCTTTTTTACTAATGCGACGGAAAAAATGAAACGTTTTATTTTTATTCACGATATTATGATCACTAAGGTCGATCGTATTTTCTGAAACTTTATTAAAAAGTTTACCAAAATAACTCACCCACCTATGTTGAATATCTTTTTTCTAAGAAAAGTATTTTTTGATTTTCATCTTTAATACACTTTACTTGAGTTAAATCTTTACTTTTCTTTTCTCTCTGTTTGGCAAGTTTATATATATACTTTTCACCCTCCTTATTATCTTAATCTATTATAAAGACCATTAAAAACAGAATTTTTTACATCACAGATTGTTCTTTTAGACCCCCTGCAGGCCGTTTGATATTTTTCTCAGTTCTCTAAGTTTTTACATTTAAACCAATTTTTATAACATAATTTTTTATATTTTATCTTTTCTTGCATATTATTATTTCACCACCATCTATTTTTTTATTAAATTTTTTTCTTTTGATTCTCCAAACACATATTTTGCTACTTGTTTAATAGTGTTTGTTATTTTATCCCACATAACATTTCTTTCTTCATAAATATCCCAAAATTTGAAATCTTAAATTTTATTCATAAAAATAATTTTAAGTGTCTTTTAAGTTTCTCCATCTAATTCTACGATGATGAGTCCTAGTATTCTTTATTTTACAACTCTTAATCTTAAAATCTAGAACTAATAAATGATGTTGGGTACTTAAATTTTCACTTTGAATGACTTTATAATCTTTACAATCGCGACGATTTCTTCTTCTCATAAGAAAATAATCAATTTGTGTTTTATTAGATACACTCTCATAAGTAATAAGATGCTCATCTCTTTTCTTGAATAAAGTGTTAGTAATAACAAAATCATACACTAAAACAAAATCTAAATTAGTTCTACATTCTTCATTAGTTACTCCAAAATCGTAGCCACCATGAGTATTTCTAAAGTATTCTACCACTCTACCGACATGTCCATTTAAATCTCCTCCAATAAAAATTCTTTTTTCAAGAGGTATCATTTGTATTAAGTCTTCTAATTTATTCCAAAATTTATCTTTAGACCCTCTATCTAAATCTACTTGAGGAGCATAAGCATTTATAATATTAAAAATCTTAGTATCAATGATAATCTTAAGGGTTATAATTATATCTCCAGCTTTATTAATTTTTACAACAATATCTTTCAAACTCCTATCTATAATTACACCTACATCATTTCTAGTGTGACATTTACCAGAATACCAAAGTTTAAAACATAAATTATCAATCTCCTTAGTCTTTTCTCCAACCCACTTAGTTTCTTGAATACATAAGATATTAATTTTCCTATGAAACATAATATCAATTAATTCCATTAATTTATCATTGAGAGTACCTATATTCCAAGATCCTATCCTAATATTAGTTTCATGGACTAACTTCTTTACCTGCATTCGCCCGTAATGTGGGAACCCTTGCTTATTTAACACTACAACCGGGCACCGGTGTAGCGGCCCTTGCACAATTTTCACTATATTCAGGTTATACAGCGCGTCGCTTTCAGTGGACGCCCTAATACTTACACAAAGATCAAAAGGATTTGTACGGCAATAATAGTTGTACAAATATCTCATAATCAACGTCATACCAATATTGTGCATCTTCATAATCATCATAAATATCTCATTAATTGTTTATATTATGAAATCATGCAATAATATTTGTACGGCAACTTGGGGAAAAAAATTCAAAGGATTTGATAATAAATTTGGTGAGGTGTACTGCACTATGGCTTGAAATGGCCAGGGGTATTGGGATGATGGTCATGCTTTGAAAATGGTAACCAAAGCACATTCTGAAAAATAATCAAATCAGCTAAAAAGACCTTTAATTGGCGCCTTGCTATGATATTGAATCATCCAAATGTGGTAGGACTTGGCTCTTGACGGACCTAACAAAATAGGGTTAAGAAATATTATATATATATATAAAGAGACTAAAAAAGAAGAGAGAGAGGGAGAGAGAGAGAACGTATAAGACAAAAGAGATGGGAAAGGGAATTGCTTGCAAAGCTGCAATTCATCAAAATTGTCTTAATCCTTGCATTCATTCACTATTTATAGAATAAAATTTGCAAGAAATAAGAAAAGAAATAAGTGAATAAAGCCATCAAAGGTGATCCTAAAAATAAGAAAGTCTTCATGGAGGGAATCCTCACAAACGAAAAAGCAATCAAGAGGGATTCTTAAATTAAGGGATCCTTAAATTAAGGATTAAGGAAGTTTTGACAAAAGAGAATCCTTTAAAATAAGGAAAACTATCAAAATGGAATCCTCTCATAAACATAAAACCATCAAGAGGGGTCCTCCAAAAAAATAGGGAATCCTCTCAAATAAAAAAGCACTCATGATGTTTTATTACAATTAAAATAAATATTGTGTAATGATATCATCCTCTGATCACAAAGCCTTGCATCAGAGATAATTTCCACCCAAATCAATGTTTTTTGTTACCAAAATACTAGAAAAATTTACTAAGGAAATTTTCATGAGAGTTAGGGCCAAAGTTCCTCTTTCTTTTTCAAGCAAATCAAAGTAGCTCCATATTTCTAGTTTTTTACCAATTCAAAATATAATCATTCCATTGCTTAAACTATTTTCACATCATGCAAAATTTCAATATCTTTGCTACCACATCAAGCCCTATTTGAAATAGATAAATCAAGTGAAGGTGGGATCTAAAATAAATGCAATCTATGTGAAACCCCTAAAGTACAATGAAGATGAACTCGCTCTTAAACAGCGAGGTGTTTTTTGATGTAACAGTTGGAATTTCATCAGAAAAATCAAAGTTAAGTGTGCTCATGTAGGAGCACTCTTGGGATGGGTGACCTCCTAGGAAGTTGCACTAATGTGACAAAACAGTGAGGACGTTAGGCCGAAGCATGCAATATCTTGATGGATGAGAGTTTGTGCTCTCACAAATGGTATTAGAGTTTTTAACCAGCCTAAAGATGGGAACTTCGTGTAATGCAAAATAAAGTAATACGCCATATGAGCCACATCCAGAATCCTATCAATATGATGGATGATTCTTAAGTTAAGAATATTGACAGGCATGTCGGTTACTTAGACAGAGAGATTGCAAAGCCCCTTAAGTAAAATGAAGCCGAACTCACTCTTAAAAATCGAGGTGTCTTTTGGTTCAACTGTTGGAATTTCATCAAAAACACCAAAGCTAAGCATGCACATATAACAGGACTCCCAGGATGGGTGACCTCCTAGGAATTTCCACTAATGGGACAAAACCATGGGACCAGTAGGTCAAGGCGGACAATATCTCGATAAATGAGTTTGGGATCTCATAGTCTAAGTCATATCCCAACTATTTTGAGTTGGTTTTATGAATCATCATATATCATCCGCTCATGTTGAGTATTACATATGGTTATATCTATCTTGTGCAAATCTTTTAATACAAATTCCATTTATACAACTTTGTCTACCTCTTGTCCTTCCAATTCCATCCACAGCATCTTAGTTTACATTTTGTATTAATGTTTAATCTTTTCAATATAAGCACTTCTCAATTAATCCTTACTAATCTTATCTTATATCAATTTTTGCATTCACATTTAGGCCACTCCCGACTTAATTATTGACTTTTAATATAGCCCAACTTTCATATCTTAGAAAACAATTGGTTAAGTTGTAGTATCAAATGTATCTTTATCTCTATGATATTCTTTTATTTCAAAATGGTCTTAACGCAATTCATTTTAACCACATATGCTTATTTTAAAAGTTAAATTCACATTAATATCCCCATTTTTCTATATAATACAGCCAAACATTGACATCACCAAAATATCCCATCAAGCAAAATTGAATAATAAATGACTATTACATGCGCACTATACTTATTTCTTGTTCCAATAATCATATGCCCCTTATCTTATAATATTTTCTTCAATACTCTAACAATTCACTTCCAACAGCGAAGGTGTTATTGATAATAATAATAATAAACACAAAGGTCTATTATTTCCAATATCAATTGTAACATCATAATCAATTTAAAAGAAATTAACAACTGATGAATCTAGAATAACTATATTTAAAATTCTGAAACTACACCAACCCAAGAACTAACGCAATGAGCAAAGCTAGCAGCCTTTTGATCAAGATATGGACCAAAAGAAAAAATAATTCCAAAGTACAAGCACAATTGTGAGATTAGCAAATATGACATTTATTAAGTGTGATTCCAACTGAGCATGCAGGCGTACCTTGATATGACTTGATATGGCAATGAATTCTCCTTTCCACTTGTTAACATATGCTGGCATATCTGGAGAATTATGAGGAGGAAAGATAAATATCAAATGATAATACACCTATGCCAATGCCTCAGAGTAAAAACATAAAGATTCGGTTAACAAATAAGTAAGACAATTTTGAGCATACCACAAAAAGCTTTGTGGCCAATTTAGCCGGCTCATCCTTTGATTCTTGGATAAGTTTCTGTAGAAGTTTTGCTGCTTCTAACTCCACATGATGTGATGACGCCATCTCATAGGAGAAAGCTGCAAAGCAGCAAAATGAATCTTTTTTTTTTTTGGCTCAAGAAAACACCTCTTTAAGTGCAAATATAACGGATAAGTTCACGAGGATTACACCAAATAGTTGCAACAAAAATCAAGTAAAGTTAGACATGGTGAAATATTAGCTTGCATTAAGTTCTACTAACAATGAGGACATGGTGATGGCATTAAAAAGGAAAGACTATTGTGAAAATATGTTCAAGTGGCTTGAAAGTACGACATAGTGGCAAAAAAAAGCACATTGATGATCAAAAAGAGAATATTCAAATACAAATGCACCTCTAGATTAAAGAGAAAGCAATATAAAGATTCCAAACAAACCACTCATCATCATAATGTACAATAAAATTTTGTAAATATTACACAAAATCTTATGACATAAAAAATGCACAAACTGGACAAAGTTCATATATTATGCACGAATAGGTGTACCATAGTTTTAATTAAAACCAATTCAGTTTCAGTTTTGGTGCAGCTATGAAAGCTTTAGTTTTTTTTTCTTTGGTTTCGGTAACTCTGGCAATACAGTGTATTGCATTATATATATATATATATATATGTGTGTGTGTGTGTTTACTTATATTTTTAAGTCTTTTAGTGTTTGGTTTAAATCAAAGGAAATACAATAACAACAACAACGAGCATCTATACCACTAAGTCAGGTCGTCTACGCAAATGCTTTTTCTTCATTGGGTTCTATTGAATGTCATATTTCATTTAATTCTAATAAATTAAGATATTTTTTTACACAACATGCCCAAGCCATTTTAAGATATAATAAATGCAAAGTAAAAAATTCAAGATATAAGAATGTCCCATATATCCCATTTTCCATGCTTTTGGAAATCATTCAATTTGACAAAGTATGAAACCTTATCTCTTCCTCCCTTGAGCATTGCCATTGTTTGTCACCAATTTCAACAACCTCCCTAATTTTTCATGTAACCGGCGACCTACCACGAGCCCCTACCATTGCAAGAGAAGTCCCTCAAACACCTCCATCCCCCTAAACCTCTTTTGAGTTCCTCCACAGCACAGAAACCTTGTCTATCTCGGTCCCCATGGATGGAGACCACCCCCAATCCATCCAATGAACTTTCCAAGCACCTCCCATAACCTTAAACCACCCCCAAGCTCTCCACTTCGCACCAACTTATCCCCTTCCCACCAAAATCCTCCCCTACGCCCTTCCAACACAGTCAAACTACCTCAAACCCTTCCAATTCCCAACAATCCAACTAGAGCCCATCCCATGGTTGAGAAATACGCGAGGAAAAAGAGACTTTAATGTTAGCAATACTACTGTTTGCATGTCTCTTTCTTAACCTGATTCTTTCGCATGTACTTTATGTACTCATCATTTGGAGTATGTTTTACCCCTGTCAAGCATGCACAGGCCAACTAAGCCTCTTTTTACTACCTTATCTCAAGAGGCAAAACTCCAATTGATCCTGACATCAACAACAACAAGAAGCCTTTATCCCACTAAGTGGGGTTGGCTAAATGAATCCTTTTCCTTCATTGCCTCCTATTGAGTGCCATATTTTCATTTAATTCTAATAAATTAAGAACATTTTTTTATAAAATATGTCCAAGTATTTTTAGGCCTATTTTTATCTTTCTTAACATAACTCAAATCAAAAACATCTACTCTCCTAACTGGATCATTAAATAGTTGGTGTTTAATGTGACCAAGCCATGGTGTTTAATGTGACCAAGCCATCTAAGACAACTCTCTCAGTGTTTAATGTGACCAAACCATCTAAGACAACTCTCTCTAATTTTGCACCTCATAGGAGCTCTGGAGCTATACCAACCCTTTCAAGGATACATTCATTTCGCATTTAGCTTCTAAGTGTCAAGCCACTCATCCACCTAAGCATTCTCATCTCAGCAACACTTAACTTAGATTTACGCTTTTCTTTTAAAAGCCAACATTCCGCGCCATAAAGCATTGCAGTTCTCACCGCCATCTTATAAAAAATAAAAAATATAAAAGATAAAAAACACACATTTTACAATTTCACAAGAGAAGTACTAATTATAAAAGATGAGACAAAATAGATTACAAATTCATGAGCAAGGATATACCAGCCCACATTATTGAAACACATTGAACAGCCAAAAAAAAAATGAATACAAATGTGCATAAGATTTTGATAAAAATTATACCAAAAGTGCAAGTACAGCCCCTGGCAGCGAAGGAATCTCCCCCCAACAACACCCATGCTTTATATGGTCACAAATTCCATGATCATTACATTAAGTCCTTCAATAAAATATTATCTTGAGTCCTTAAAATGAAATTCAAAGCATGAAAAATAAAATGTTTTCATCACACTTTAACTCATTGATATGATAGTTTGCTTCAATGTTTTCTGTTTCAGTGCAAAAGAAAGCAGCAAAGGAGTGAGAATAAAGGAAAAAAATCATGGAAGCTTTTCAAACTAGAAGAGAAAGCATGAAGAAGGTGTAGCAACAGCAAATTACATGCTCATATAACTACCTAGTGAGGGGTTGATCCCAACTAGCAAACAAGCAACACAACAAAAATACGAAAAGAGTGCAACTCTTTTGTTTTCCTCTGACAATTCATTCATGTGTGAACGCACGTATTTCTGTGTCAATATCATGCTGGCCTTCCCGAACTACTTAACCATCAAAATAGTCAAATTTCAAGTTTCACTGACAAGTTACTGAAACCCCAAATCAAACACGAACTATGGCATAAAACAGTTCAAAAACTTCGGCAGAAGTATAACATGAGTCAAAATAGCAAGCTCTTATAAAATTCCAACCCTAGAATAAAATCTGCAGCTCAGAACATACGATTCACTTCAATAAACTTTCACTAATAAACCAGCCTGCTAAATCGGATTCAAGTCAAGGTTATGCACTTGATGAGCTGATTATAAAGATGAAATAACGACGCTAAGTCAAGGTTACCGGCTGTGGATAGGCTTAAGGTGGAAAAGAAGTGAGATCTACGCCGGAACGAAAGGGAAACCTATCCATTGCGGTAGCTCATAACCAGCATCACCTCCGATTGTTCTGAAAGACTGTTAAAGAGGATGAGGAAATCGATATCGGCGTGAGAAAAACTCTACCGACGATCTCTGGAGAGCCCCCGTTCGTTCCACCTATGGCCGAAGTTACGGTTCACATAGATCTGTGTCAGCTAACGTTGCAGAGAAGTGAGGATGTGCAAAACCAGGAAACCTGCGCTCTCACGAGGACGAAATTGGGCGTGGAAGTCGGTAGGGCCGTCAAAAAAGCTCTTGGTCCGTAAACGGATCAAATACTAATAATTTTTTTTTGTTCCTATGAGTTGATGAAGTTCCTTTTCGATTCATTAATATTTGAAACATAAAATAATTTAAAATAATTATATATAAAAAATTATAATATTTTAAAAATAATTAAATACTTTCAAAATTTATCGTATTTTAAAAAATTAAATTCTACAAATTATGATATAAAATAAATATTAATAACATTAATATTCTATTACTATTAATTATATTAATATAAATATTATAATATTTTAGCAATTCAAATATGCAAAGAAATCTTAATATTTTCAAATAATTCAAATATTTCGAACAATTCGAACAGATCATGTTTAACGAACAACTTCGAACACAAGCCTATTTCAAACACAATTAATTTAAAGCTTTTCACCCCCACTGTGAGAGTTTAGGGTATGTTTTTTTTATGTTCATTCTCTAATCTCTACTCTTATGTATCTTTGAGCAGACGTTGGTTTGTCTGCAGCTCGTCTGCTCAGTATTATTGTTCATTTGTTTGGTTGTTTGTGAGGCTCTTGATATTCTTTCTTGGTTGTTTGTGAGGCTACTGAGTTGTCATCTTGGAGTATATTTTTTTTGATATTTTTTATTTATCTTCAGGTTTGTCTCTCACCTTAAAATTTCTTAAATTTCTTTTAGTTTTTGTTTACTGAAACCTAGTTTTTGAAACTTTTGGGAGTGACAATGTTGGTTTTTGCACAGAGTTACCTTTTTCGCTCTTAATGTGAGAAGGTTTGAAAATAAATTTCATGCAAATGACAAGGGTTTATTTTTCTGTGCATTTGAGGGAAATCTATGCTTCCATGTGTCAATAGTTTGATAATAACAACATACGAGTTGAGGGAATAGTCATGATTCATGAAATTGCAAGGTATATTGAGTTTTTGGTTTATGGGCAGTTGAAATTTACAGGCTAGAATGCTTCGATACATATATTAGATTTAAGAGTTTTTGATATCTATATGTATCTAAGAGTTGTTAGCTATTTTAAGTTACAGATATTAAATTTGTATATATGCAAATAAACCTATCATTCTTCCTTTTTATTTACATAGAATTTGCATTATATATGTTGCTTTGAGGGAAGGGAGAAGAACTATAGCTGCTCTATTTTAATATGCAGTTGAAGTTAATTTTTTTTTAATTTTAATGAGTCTTTTTTTTGAGCATTTGGAAATATCCTTTAATTGTTGAGTGCTTCACCCCTGGTAGTTACTTCTAGTAATCAACAGTAATTGCAACATATGGCAGTAATTTTAATGAGTCTTTTTTTGGGCCACTCCTGTCCTTAATTATTTAAGAGCAGATCCTGAACAAATTGGTCTGACAATAGTGGAATAGATAATGATGTAGCATTATAAGAATGAAATAATTAGCGACGACAACATCATAAATGAGCACTCCGTTTTGAAATTAATTTTAAATTATATAATTATTATGATTAGGCCCCATCATAACTGTCATGTTTTTGGTTGTGTGTAGTTGGACATCTTATGAATGGGATAGAGCTTCCAGAGATATGAAGCCAACTTAGCCAAGTCCTTCGACTTTTCCTTTTGACATTTTATTTTTTGCATAGCTTGAGAGTATGCGCAATCTAGTCAATGAACTTATTCAAATTTCTCCGCATTATGTAGATTTGAATTACATAGATTTTGCTTGGCACTGGATGAGGACTTCTAACTAACTGTCAATGATTACTTTAAAATGAATGATGTTTTTTGTTATCATTTAGAAAAGTTTTTGTATTGAAGCAATTAGCATTTTTAACATTATTCTGTATCAAGTTTCATATATTTAGAAACGTCTATCCATTGAGTAATCTCTTACCATCTTCAAGGAATTAACCATTGAATTCTATCTTTTCAGCTTCTACAAAGCTGCTGCTCGAGAATATTTACAAATATATGAATCAATCTCTGTTTAGCGTTATTTTTTTGGTAGATTTACATACATATCAATCAATCTCTGTTTAACGTTGTTTTTTTGTAGATTTACATACATATCGATCAATCTCTATTTGGCATTGTCCTTATTGGGCTATTACTAGATCCAGGGAAGTCATTTTAGGGGTTTGGGAGAGGTGCAACAACTCCTAAATTTGGTGAGAGGGTTGTTTCCCTCTCTCCCATTCCTGGATTCAAATATTCCTGGATTCAGATGCCCAAGTTGGCACAAAAGAAAAAAAGTTTTATGACAGGGCTGACATAGTGACATCCACCCTGATTTTTTATACTGAAATATGTTTTTTTTAGTTGTTTTTTGTGCTTTTAGTGCTTGCAACTATAGGCAAGTCACCATGGGCTGATGCACAAAATTTGGTTGAGCATCTTGTTCGTTGTAGCATGGCAATAAAATCAGATGGGAAATTATATTAAAACTATTCTACTGCATCATATTTGTTATCATAAGCAATGAAAGTTTATTCTACTGTATCGAATTTGGGATTTGATATTCATAGCGTAGCTGCAGCCTGCTGACACGCCAAAAAAATGTTTGATTTTTCATATACATTTTATTCTTAATTTTAATGATATTGCACTTTAAAGGAAGGTATTTTGCATGTTTTTTGTTTCAGGTATAAGAAATGAATTTTTGGAGAAAAATAAACAAAAACTATGCAATTTGGAGCAAAAACGAGCAAGAAATATAATTTTGCCCTGTCACATTTCGATAAGTCTTTCGATGTTTAATCTCTTTTAAACTTCTTGTATATTTTTGAATGAGATTACACTTTAAAAGAAGGTTGTTTTTATGCTTATTTTGTAGAGCTATCTGTTAGGAACACAACGCAGCTGAAATGGGGCGAAACGGAGCTAAAACAGAGCTAAACGGAGCGAAACAGTGGAGCTGCGCAGAAATCTCGCCGACGACGAGATTTTCCCAAGAAAACCGAAAAATGACAAACAAGCTCGCCGACAACTCCCTCGAGCACGCTGACGGCGCCCGAGAAGATTCTGGACCGACTATTGGCGGTTATGGGCCCAGATTCGACGTATTTAGATGCTTTTTGAAAGGATTCTTATGGAAGATTCTTGTGGCAACGCTTCAAACTTAGTCCTTACACTTTAAAAGAACGAATTTAGGTTAAAAAAAGTGATTTTTTTGTGATAGGAATGTTAAGAAAAGTGTGGAGAAAGTTTAGGGTTTTTAGAATAGGAGTAGAAATGTAGATTTCTACCCTTTTGGAGAGATTGGAGAGGAGATTTTGAGAGAATTTGTAAGG